ACTCAGCCCCTGGTGCCTCCTCCCACAACACAGCTGCCGGCAGCCCAGCAGATGCCGATGGCAGTGGCCCGCCCGCCCACCGCGCACCCCGGCCCTGGCCCGGAGGAATCACCTGTGGTTCCTGCCCCAGCACCCCTTTTACTCACCAGCTTGGCTGTAGATCAGGCCCAGGCCCCGACTCCGGCCCCGGTGACAGCAGAGCCCACCCTATCCTCAGCGGCAGCCCCATCCCCATCCCCACCCCTGGCTCCATCACCATCTCCATCTCCAGCTCTGGCCACCACTGAGCCGTTGCCCCTTGTGCCGGCTCCCACCAAGACACGCAAACGCAGGAACAAGGGTTCCCGCTCAGCCCGAGGGGCGACTCGTGAAGACCACTCGCCTGGAGGTGGTCCTCGCCAAAAGACTACAGCTATTGTGACTGACAACGGTGGCAGCGGGGCTGCTCCAGCCAGGGCAGCTAATATCAGTGCTGCGCGCCACTGGCCACCCTTCCAGGTGCTTAACTCTTGTCCCTGCAAGTGTTACTGCCGCCACCAGCCACACCATCGCCGCTTGCCAAGCAACGTGTCTGCCTGGTGAGGGGAGGTCAGGAAGTGGGAGGAAGGGCATAGCCCTGCAGTCTGGAACCCTGTTTGCCAGGCCTGAGCCTAGGCTGATCCTTGACCCTCTTCCAAACCTAGCTAAGCTCCAGTCCTTCAGCACCACTGGGGAGCCTGGATCCCATACTGACCAGGGCAGGGACAGGAGGCACCTCGGCCTAGCTAGCTCCTTGGTATTCTGATTCCCAAGTCCACACTGGCCCTCTTTTTAAAAATTTATGAATTGATTTTATGGGTTTTTTATGGGCATGGAACTTGGGTCCTTGCGCTTGCGAAGCAGGTGCCAGAACCACTGAGCTAAATTCCCAGCCCCACGCTGGCCCTCTTGATACTCTAAATCATGAGGGAGAAGCAGGTCCCATCTGGACTGACCCTATTCAGTTCAGACACAGAGAGACCATGTTCCACACTCTAGGGATGGGAAGATGTCTTCCAGGAACTGAAAGGGGGTCAATGTAGGCCTCCAGCTGTCCTGGACATAGGGAGAAGCCCTGGCCCCCTCAGGCCTCTGGCAATTTGTCCTCATTCTAGGATTCAAGGCTTTAACCACCGAAGGGCGCTGATGCCCCAGTACTTGTGCTGCAAAATCTACTTGAGTCCCCAGATCCAGAGGGTACACTGCACTCTGCCTCCTGTCTACCCTTATGCTGAATCTCTGGATCTGACCCTGGCTCTGGAAGATATTCTGGCTTCAGATCTGACCCTGCCCTGGGCCTCAGGGACTTAGCTGGGGCACCATAACCATCAGCCTTTTCCCACTCTAGGGAGGCGCAGCTCTATCCAAAGCTGCCTTTGGATATCCACAGTCACCAGGAGCTTCCTTATTCAGATTGGGAAAGTGAAGCTCTGCTCAGACACCCTGTTGATTCTTCCTTCCTCCCAGGCTGGACACAACCACGAATCACCTGAGCGAGCCACCCTGGGTCACCACCATCAAGCTGGCTGGCTCCCTGGTAGCTGGGCTGGAGCACTATGACTTGCAGGCCACCCATTCAGACTGAGTGCAGTCAATCCAACACCCCACCTTCCCCTCCATGCCAATAAAGTATCCAATGCAAATGGTCAGCAGTCATTGGCTGTGAGCTGGAGGAACAGGGAGGGAGGGTAGGGGAAGGCAGAAGATTCCTGGGGAGTGGGGTGGAAAGCCCGTGCCCTGGCCCACACCTTTTGTTCAGAGGGATTGTGCTGTTAGCCCACAGAACAGACTCCGTTTCACAAGTCATTTGAAAAATTATTTAATCTATTTTCAACATGTTAAAAAATTGGGACACGACCCCTTCACTGAAAAGAACTGGTGCCCTGGTCCAGCATTCCAATGTGCTCATAGCTGGCTAAAACAGTCCCTCTACCTGAGACCTGTGCTGTCCTGTAAGTCACAGGGCCACTGGGCATGTGTTTGAGACCTGAAGCAACGGCCACTGGATAGAGGCTGACTGGTCTCCAACCCCCAAGAGGACCACCATCCTGACTGGGGAGACAAGGGCCTAGAAGAACAAACGTCAATCCACCTTTATTGGAGGACAGCCTGTGATGGTTTTTAGATAACCATGCCCTGCCCGCCCCCCGGGCTCAGTGGGCTCAGACAATCATCTCCAGCTGCCGGGCATACTCGATGACCTGCTTGGCCAGTTCTGTGGAGGGGATGGTGGTGTCTTCTGGCTTCTGTTGCTGGCTGGCAAAACTGTAATAGTTGTTGGGCCCCAGGATCCAACCTCGCTGCAGGAAGGAAGGGATCAGAAATGAGTGGGATGATTCCAAAGGCTTCCTCCCCACCCCACAGAGCCACCACTCACTCACAGATACACACACCATGGCATCCTTTTCTCACCAACCCCCTCTACCCACACAACGCCAGGCAAGACTTCTCTCTATGCCTGCTTCTCCATGTTGGTGATAAGGACTCTAAGTCTTCTCTAGACTGGCTGTGAGGATTTAGTTAATCAAAACTAAAGCACCAAAAACAATGTTGCCATCACTCAGACTGAGTTTCACCCACTTCCATGGTCTATCCTTGATTCTCCTCCTGCCTCCTGACGCTCACCAGGGACAGCACACAAATTAGCATCTCCAGGGGACACTGCTCCTACTCAAGTGCACCAGCAAAATGAAGTTAAAGTCTTAGGAAAAGGCTGCTGTCTCTAAGAAATTCTAAACTAGGGCTGGGGTTTTAACTCAGTAGTGCCACCCTTGCCTTGCAAACACAAGGTCCCGAGTTCGATCCCCAGTACCAGGAAAACTAATAAGGGCAAAAGCCAACATGCAGAGTGCCCACCTCCACCACGTGTCAGGTGCTATACTAAATTCATCCCACCCATCAGCTCAAGCTCCATTCTATGAAGCTGAGAGGCAGTTTGTTTAAGGGATTAAGCTGGATTTAATTCTAGGATTCTTGTTCCTTCTAGACTACCCACTGCTCTCCCAACACTGCCATTAGATAGTGCATCCTGTGGCTCCATGGCCCCTTGCCGTGCACTCCAGCCACCTTCTTGGCATAGTCTGTCATCTTTTTGGGTGTGTTGAAGAAGAGAATTCTGGTGGCCTCAGTAAAAAGGATTTTCTCATAGGCCTTCTCAATACATCCAGCAATCTCATCCCTGTGGAAAAATAATATGGTTCTTATTACCAAGTAAAGACAGCTCCCAGGTCCTGTCCTCCCAAGCCTGACTGGTGTCATCTCTGATCCTTCCATTGAGCAGTGGTGGATGGAATATGTTACCCCTCCTTTACTGAAGAAAGCTCAGACTCTTCACCAGAGACTCAAAGCAGGCAGGGCCACAGGCATCCACATTTAGATTTCTCTGACTCCCAGAACCGTGAACCCCAGCTCTGAATGTCCCTCCTAGCTTCAGGACTTAAGACTGTCTGAAACCCAACTTGGGAATCCCATGAGTGCATCTCTGCACAGAAGACTCCATTCTTAAGGATGCTGTACCCTGCTTCATAGATCCCAAGTGGGGGTCCTGTATCCACTGAGACACCACAAACACAGCAAAACATGAAGTCATCAGAATGGGGACAGGATAAGGTCAGAACAAAACACTGGCAGAGAAGAGCAAGTCCATTTCTGAGATATCACATCTCTCAGGCTCAGTACTTGGGAGGATTTCAAATTTTAAAATATCCTAGGGTTGGGGATGTAGCTCAGTGGTAGAGCGGTTGCATAGGGTTCACCCCAGGCACCACAAAACAAAACACTGCTAAGCCAGCCAGGTACAGCACTCCTGGTCTGTAGTTCCAGCTACTCAGGAGGAAGAAGTAGGATTGCACCATTCAAAGCCAGCCTGTGCCACATGGCAAGTCCCTGTCTCAAAAGAAGAAGCAAAACAAATGCCATGCCAGGAGTGATATAGTGCATGCCTATAATCCCAGCACTGTGGAAGGCTGAACCAGGAGGATCACAAGTTCAAGCCCAGCCCAGGCAACTCAGCAAGATTTTCTCTCAAAACATATTGGGGGGCTGGGGATTTAGCTCAGTGGCACTGCACCTGCCTCTCAAGCTCAAGGTCCTGAGTTCAATCCCCGGTACTAAAAAAACAATAGGGGCTGGGGGATGCTGGAAATGTGTGAATATCCCAGGACAGTGGTGGTGAACCTATGGCACAATGCCACAGCCGGCTGTATCGCTGGAAACTCTAAAAGGTTCACCATCACTGTCCTAGGATCAATTCCCGGGCTCACACAACAAGAAGCCACCTTAAACTCACAAGGCTGCTTTTGTCACCCGAAGAACGGAAACTCATTCCAGTCTGCTGCTGAATCATCTGTGTCACCACTGTGATACCCTTCTCCACCTCAAGGAACTTGTATGTCTTGCCCACATGTTATCACCTGTGTACACAGCAACCGAAAGGGCTGGCAGGACATGGTGACCCCACTGTAGAGAAAGGAAAACTGCGCACTCACACTTTAGGTGCTCTGAGTTGAGGCCATGTGACTCATGAGTGCATCCCTGGTTAAAAGGCTGGAGCATCTGTCACAGAGGCAGTACAGCCCGTGGCTGATGAGCTGTCTGGGCACCATGCCCAGGCTTAGTCTGACACCTGTGGCCACACACAGGGGAACAGCCTGAACCAGTGGAGGTCTACTGTCCACCATAGTGTAAGCAGTTCTGACTCATACGAAAGGAGAACTAGAGAACTAGGAAGACAGGAAATGTGCCGGCCTACCCAGGTCGCCAGCGGCCAGAACAGGATTCAAACTCAGAGCCGTGAGAAGCCAGAATCCAAGCTCTTTTGAATCCCAAGCAGCCTAGGCCCACACACACCTGATAGTGTCCAGGAGTATGTCGATGAAGAAGGTGTAGCTCTCAGCAGGGATGTTACCCTTGGCCAGGAACACCTTGTTGTAGCTGCCCTCCATCAGGTACTGCAGAGGCCAAGGATGAAGAAGAGGATGAAGAGGTAGCACAGGGGGCTCCTGCACGCCTCTGGTTCCCCCATAATCCCCACTTAGCCAGAACACCCTAGCCACACAGCCATTCACTCCCCAGCAGACTGTGCTGCTCCTCTGGTTTACACACGCACACATGTACTCATTAAACGTATCACTACATTTCCTCTCCAATTACAGGAAGGAGACAGCCCAGGTCCTTCCCACAGCCCTGTGCCCAAACTGTACTGCCTGCCCTACCTGTCCTCTGTGCCATCCCTTCTCACAAATCCTCCCCAGACCTAAGACAAGAAGCAACTTCCTAACCCCAGCTTTTCAGGATCTTCCCCAGGCCTAGTGTTGTGCCTTTGGACCCTACAATGGCTGCTCCCTCTGCCTGGATTTCCACATGGTCTGCTCCTCGGCCCTTTCAAGTCTTCCAATCTCACCTCTTCAGCGAGGCCTTCCTTGATCACCCATATAATATTCTGCTCCTGCCCCCTAAGCCATGCCTTTTCCATTATTTTTCTCTATAGCTTTGACATCTGACAGACTACATGGGTTACTTATTCTTTGGTTCCTTATCTCCTTCTCCACCTGTCATCTCCACCAGGATCAGGATTTGTTTGACTGCACAGGCTGAGAACCTACCATAATGCCTGGCACAGAGCTGGGGCTCATTATTTGTTGGATATACAAAGAAGTCCACAGATTTGGCCTGGTTAACCCTGAGCACTACTCCAGAAAACCTTCCCTAACGTCTGACACAGCATCACCACCCCGGCCAGACCTTCCTTCCCCTTCCCAGCCTCACTTGTTCGAGGGACACAGGGTGCTTGATGTAGACATTGGTCTGGATGTCCTTGGCAGGCAGGCGCTCCAACTCTGTGTGGAACTCAGCCACGCGGTTCTGGGACAGCAGGAAGAGGAGGTTGAGGCCCAAGAGCTGGTGCATGTAGGCCGACTCAGGGAGCTGCTCCCTGTGGACCAGGGAGGGTAACCAAGGTAAGGAGGGCTTACGGACCCACCAAGTGTCCCAAAAGAGGAGCCAGGGACCCTGTTGTACCCTTGAAGGTATTCAGGATCTTGGGTTTTCAAAGGAAGAAACTGAGACTCAAAGGGCACAAGGAAGTCACTTACAAGTCATACCAATCCAAGTGACTTTGATTAAAGTGACTCAGCCTCAATTTTCCCATATATAAAATGGGTCAATGGATCCACAGAATCCATCTCATAAAGATGGGTTAAATGAGGGCCAGGGATTTAGCTCAGTGGTTCCGCCACCTGCCTCGAAAGCACATGATCCTGAGTACGATCCCCAATACCAAAAGTGGGGGAAAAAAGATGGGTTAAACGAGTAAAGTGAGTTAAACAACTTAACCCAGATAAAGGGATAAGACACAAATAAACACTGCATATTATATTAAGAATCATCATCTCCAGTTTGATGGGGAAATGGCACTGAGAGGTGAAGACCACATAATCATTAAGTGGCAGAATGTCTCAAACCCATCGATCTGACTTCAAAATTCTCACTAATCCAAGGAAGTGTCATTCAGGTGTTATTGTTTTTGTTTCTTTTTTTCAGACAGGATCTCACTATGTCGTTCAGGCTGGCCCCATACTTGCAGCAATCCTCCTGCCTCAGCCTCCCAAGTGCTGGGATTTCAGGTACACACACCCCCACCTGGCTATCATTCAGTTTTATATTCAGCACACATCTATCAAGTGTCCGCTCTTGGCCTGACCTTGAGGTAGGCAGTGCTGAGGACACTGGCAGCTTTAGGCTCTGCCTTAAGGAAGTTCACAATCCAATGAGGGACAGATAAAAGGATGAAGAAGGCACATGCAGAAAAGCCAGCCAAGGACAGTATTGAAAGCCATAGCAAAGAAATTTGTCTCCCAGCCTGAGGGTCCCTGAGAGCCAGGACAGGTGCTGAACAGATTACCAAGAAGGTCAAATTTAAACGTTGGGGCTCGGGGTAGTACTGTCACTCAGTGGTAGAAAACCTGCCTAGCATGTGTGAAGCCCTAGTTTGACGCCCAGCACCACAAAGGAAAAAAGTTAAGTATCATAAAAATACTGTTGGCTGCTCTAGAACATGAATCAGAGGGAGCAAGGCTGGGGTTAAAGGGATGGTGGCAACACTGGGGAGAGGGGTTGTAGTGTGGGCATGTAAAGGGAGATGGTGGACTGGAGTCCTACAGGAACTGAATCACACAACCCTAGCCCCAGGACCTCTAACCCAACTCCCTCACCCTGTAGCCTCTGAGGACACAGATAATCACAGCTGCAGGGATTCCCAGGAAAAGGAAGATGACCTGTGTGGCCAGAGCACCAGAGATAAAACAACTGCCAAGTAACTTGTAGCCCTCCCCATTCCAGTCAGGGGCCATCCTCACTTGTAGTCAAAGTAGTAACATTTGAGCTGGGCCATGTAGCGCTCGAAGGAGGGGATGTCCTTGCGTAGGATGCTCCACTGGGCGCCGATCTCCAGTATGTCACCTGTGGGTGACAGGGTGGGCTTTCAGGAGGTGACGGGGGTTGCTCTAGCCAACAGTGCTGACATTCCTGCAAAAACTCCAACCCACCAGCAGCCCCACCCACCCAAACCCTAGTGACACTCACGGGCCAATATGAGCTGCTGTTTGGTCAGCTTCGTCCCTGTGGTTGGCAGGAAGTTGAGCTCCAGTAGAACCAACTGATGAGGAGGGAAGGCAAAAAGGAAAAAAGGTGAGACATCAAATACAGTTTTATCTACCTTCTCCAGCCTCTTTTTTCCCACCTGGAAAATGGAGCTAACCATCATCCCTGACTCATAAATCTGTTATGAGTATTAAAAGAGTCAATCCTCATAAAACACCAGGATTACCTCACATTACAATTATTAATAGCTCCACTGGGAGAACAGAAGAGTCAGTGACTGACCCAGTAGAATCGTAGGGGTGTCAGTGTTTGGCAGATCTTCCCCACACTATTCAGGAAGGAATAGCTGGACTAACCCAAATTCTACACCAGGGAAGGGGAAGCACTCATCTCCCCACCTCATGACCCAGCCCAAATATCATTCTTTGGTAGACTCAGCAACTCTGTTTAGCCTACTACTGTATATTTATACTCTTTCCCAAACATCCTGGGTGTGAAGCAAACTGAACCCCATACTCGTCTTTCCAGGTTCAGTCAGGACCCTACAACTTGGCTGGGCCCCTTTCCCACGGAGATGCATCCCTATACCCGACCTCTCAGACCCCAATGTGGCCTGGTCTTAAGTACAATACCCCCTACATACACCGACATCTCAGTCTCTTGCTTTCATCACCTGTGCCCTCATTCCCTACTTGGTCTTGTCTGGAACCCGTGATCAGAAAAAACCCCGACACCCACTGTGCCCATACAATCAGAAAGGCCTGTGAGCACCAAAATTTTACCCCGTCTCTCCACTCTGCGCAACCAGTCTTTCCATCGCTTCCTCCCCATCCCCTAACCCATGGAGCTGCTTTGTTCGTCCCAGCCCCTTATTTCCTGACCCCTCCAAGCCCGCCGGACCAATTATTCAGGCTCTCCGGACCTTTCGGCTCGCGGACCGCCTTGTTCAGGTGGACACCGAGGACCCTGCGGTGGCACAGAACCTGGCTGTGGCCAGACCCCTCGAAGCGCCCACCGCAAGTCCCTAGCTGCCGGGGCCCGTCGACCCCTACCTTGAGGCGGCCCAGCTCTTCCCCGCATTTGTTAAGATTGGGGCTTTTACGGTTCCACTCTCCCTTGAGTTGTTCATACATGCCGGCTGCGGCCTGCAGGACCGCACCCGAGGCCGCCGCGGTGCTCGAGACTCCGGCCGCCCCGTTCACAGTCGCAGCCGCCATCTTCCGTGATGCGGCAAACCTCCCGCCTGGTTTACGGCGGCGACGCCTACGAATGCTCGCTCGCCGGCGGAAGTAGGGCCGGGAGGTGGAGCCCAGAGCCGGGGGCGGGGCTACGGCTGCCCGCCTGCGTCGGTGCCGGGTGTTGTGCGGTCGCTGCCCTACAGGCGCCCTCGAAGCCCTGCCCTTAATGAACATATCACTTGGAG